GTGAACGGACCTGGGTGGGAACTTCTTCAAGGTCCAGGGACATAACAAGGGTAGATCATATGCAACTATGAAAACACATCCTGATGGTCTACTGAGGGAAGAACCTCTCTTTGAAACTTGAAAAATATTTGCTAGCCCACATAGACCAAAATGAAGTACACTCTCTCTTTCAATAGATCTGTTTCATCCATCAACTGTGTCATTTCTCCAATCACAGAAATATGGTAAAGACAAACATTAGAGGGAATATATCTTTCCAAATCTCTCCATTTCTTGTGAGTTGGGAAAAAACAGAAAACTTCACTTACATTTCTAGATTAGAGACTTGTAATTTCGTTTAAAAAATACAAATTCCTAATCAACTGGGGTGATTTGATGTAGCACGTATATTTCTTTTACATTACAGTACTTACCATATTTTTTGGAGCATAAGACACACTCCCCCCTCCCCCCCCCCAAAAAAAAAGTGGGTGGAAATGTCTGTGTGTCTTATACAGCTAATACAGGCCCATTTTTGGCCTCTGGAGGTCTTGTTTTTGTTCTCCATGGTGCCCCAGAAGCACTTTGCAAGCCAAAAACATGCCCGTTTTTGGCCTCCAGAGGCCTCCGCGGGTGGAGGGCAAAAATGGGACCCACAGAGACTTTGGGAGGCCAAAAACATGTCTGTTTTTGGCTTGCAAGGTGCTTCTGAGGCACCATGGAGAATAAAAACGCAGAGTGCTTCCGGACACTGAGGAGGGCAAAAATGGGCCACATGGAGGCAAAAAACGATTTTTTTCTTGTTTTCCTCATCAAAAACAATGTGCATCTTATAGTCTGGTGTGTCTTATGCTCCGAAAAATACAGTATATAGTAGATTTATTTATGGCCTTTTCTTCAGGATTTCCAAGTGACTTACATATACTTTTTCCCATTTTTTTCTCTATAACTTGGGAGGTTAATTTGCTTCTTTGTTTTAATGTTAATTATATTGAAATCAGCAGACAGCTACTTATAAAATCCTATTTTATGTAATGTTTTACAAAATCCTATTTCTGTAATAGATATGCTACAAGCAAGGTTTATGTACGTACATAAACTTTCCACTCGATTTCATATTGAAGCCATTTTCACTCAGCTTTTAAAGCTGTTTGATTGTAGTTTACTGACTAGCAGCACTATTACCTGTAAATTAGTATTTTAATTTCACTTTGTATATTAAACAATTTCTGCCCACCTAGCAGTTTGAAATCATACAACTGCAAGTAAATAAATGGGAAGTACTTCAGTGGGAAGATAACAGTGTTTTCGTATGCCTTGGCATATAGTCATATTGGCCACATGACCATAGAAATGTCTTCAGACAACATTGGTTCCCTTAGCTAAGAAACAGAGATGAGTACCACCACTAAATTGGACATAATGGATAGGGGAAACTTTACCTTTTTTATATTAAACAAAGAGTATTAAAAATTTGAAATAATATTTACAGAGAAACAACCAAAGGAAAAATAACCCTACAGCTCTGAATTCTGATGCAATTTAAATAAAACAATAATTTAAATTATTTCTGGAAAGAGCAAGGCCAGCTAGGTCTATGTCCTTTAGAAAGAAAGTTTATTTTAAGCTTAGCATCATTTGAGAAGAATCTAGTGGAAGAAATAATGATATATTTTCTGTCAACATATTTTTCCTTGGCTTACTCTTAGACTATTTGGTTGTTTCATTTTGTTTTTTTATTTGCCTTCTTTTCCTTCATACTACTAAAAATGGGAAAAAAAACATGAGTTGACATTACAAACTCTTCAGCAGTGTTATGGCCTTCTATATGGTATTGTTGGAAGAAAAATCCAGTCCAGTTCCAAGCAGGAAGAAAGACACTGAAAATAAAATAAAGGCAGGCCGCATGGAAAGAAGGTCTCTTTTTATTTGGATGCCAGAAACTTTAGTGACAGCAGCATGTTTCTGGGGTGGTTGACAAAATGGCTGGATGAGTATCTTTATAGAGTTCTGGGGTTTTGTGATTGAGAGGCTCCAGGGAAACATTGTGCAATGTAGTGAGCCTTGTGTCTTTTGCTATTCTAATGATGGTGAGTAAATCCTATTATGTCCTAACCATCATGTCCTGTCCTTAGAATTTGGGTGGGGGAATGTAGATTTTAGGAGTCTTTGTTTTTCTATTTTTAATCCTATCAGTTCTAACCTTCTGTGGGAGCTTGTAGCTAAATGCTTTTTTTTTAAATGAATACATTGGCCCAGTCTTTTTGAATGGATACCAAATCTCCATTCCAAAAGACCACCCTCTTCTGCTTGAAGCTGTTTTCCTACAGCAGGAAGACTAGGGATTCTTTCTGCCTTTAAGAACATGTTTCCCCATTTGTCCTTTGGGGAAATATAATATTCTTCCTCTTTTAATATTCCCCAAAACATTTCATTATCCAAGAGTTGGCAGCTTCCCACAATATGTTCAACAAATCCAGCCATTTCCATGTTTTAAAAACTTCTTCTCAATCTTCTTCCCAATATAGATTATTTTATATGGCATACTAAAAACCAAAATGTTATTGGCTGCATTGATGAGATTTCTGTTGTCTCTGGATTGTAGTAATGTTACATGCTCTATAGTCTCAGTTTTGAGACTATTTTACCCCATATAATATCTTTATTTTGTGGGGGGAAAAATCTGAATTCTATAGCCTTTATAAAAACTGCAATTCAAGCAAAGATCCTTCTTTTACATAATATTGTGCACCCATTACTCATTGGTGTAAAACAACTATTAAAGTAGCAAAGGAACTACAGCATGCAAGACACTGAAAGCCTGCTAAATATTAAATAAGTTGCTTAACTTCTAAGCTGTCCCCAGCTATCCATGTAGGATTATAGGCTAGCAAAATTCTTAAAAAAAGAAGAAATGTTAGATTCTTCTGCTATTTTTCTGTCTTTTGGCAGCAGCATCATACATTCATAACTCCTTTCCATCATTTCAGGCAAGATAGAAGAATTTGGAGGGCGAGGAATCATATTTTCCTTGTCTCAAAATGGTGGGAAACTTAGCTACTGGGTTTCAGCAGTCATGATTGGAGGGGATTCTTGGGTTTGCAAAAAGGAGGTCTGAGGGTTTCCTATAGTTCTGTGGCTGCAGGTTGCCCACCCTGTGTAGAGACAAGTTTTGTGACTCATAAGATGACTCAGCCTGTTTTTAGATGGTCATACATAACATTCCTAGCTCTCTTTTTCATGCAGCCTTTTGAATTACTTGCCCTTTTATTCTACAGCTTTATCTTCACCCACCCCGCATTTTATGAAACTGTTCTTTTTATCCACCTGCTCCACATAAAGATAAAAGCAGCAATACTGAAAACAACAGAAATTCCATAAGATATACAAGTCCTGGTGATGTCACTTAGGATATGAGGGGAGCAAAAGGAATCTGGGAAGTTTCTTCCTACATAATTGAATTAGTAGGGAAATGTTTTGGCAGAACATTTTGTATCCACAGTGTTTTGTCACCCAGACAACATCTTGGTGGGGAATTTCAGGCAGCTGCCTATGCTGGGTGTGGGAATAGGATCCCATCTCACACTTAAACTTCTTCACATGGAATTAAAGAGACAGTGCTGCACTGTCACTCCAGGGCTAGTAAACATCTTAAAGAGAAACCTCTGACATGTCTAAGCCAGATGAAATTAGCCTAGAGATGATCCATGGGAGCACAATTTTATTATAAGGATTACTGACTTCAACAATGACTGGACAATTTGTGGAAGTCAGAAATACAAAAAGGCTTTTAGGTAACATGCTCAAATTCCCCTAGTTTAAATATGTGGGTAGTGGCAGGTCCAGTTTTCAGAACAATGTTATCAGTATTGCTTTCATCAAGAAAAGCAACTTTGAAATGATCTCGTAAGTTAAATGATTTCAAAAGTTGTCATGAGTAACTTCTCCCAATTATTCCTTCACTGGCCCATGTCCTTTATAATGTCTACAGACTCTTGACCAGTTAATTTTTTCTCCATTTTTACCACATATCTCTTATTCTTTTCTCTCTTTGATTCTTCAAATCTTTGTATGTGATACTCAACCTTCATTTTTTTTACATATGAGGATCGCTATTTCTATTTTCCCAGTCATCTTCCTCCTCTTATTTAAGCCAGATTTTCTTCTGTTGTTACGCAGATACACTTTTTGTTCTTCTACTCTCCCTTGAGGCCTTATTTTATAACCTGACACATCTTACAACAATATATTCATCATATATTCATCATAGCCGTCACCATCTATCGGCTTGCCTGAGGCCGTGCCAAGCAGGCATCCTTGCAGGGTGTCAGGATCACCTGCCTCCCCCATTCCTTCTGCCTCTGCCTGCTGCAGGTGCTGCCGCACAAGCCTCCTGCAAGCCTGGATCCCTGTCTTCTCCCCACACTTCTTCTGCCTCCACACTCGGATGTAATGGTATTTGCATTGTGCCAAGGGGCTGGCGGGCTGTGGCTTCTGGGCACCATTGGCCCCAGGACTCACCACCTCTTGTGCTGGCTACACCCCAGGCTTATTTTTGGGGTAGGGCTTATATTACACCCACCCCAAAAATTAGTCTACGGCTTATTTTTTGGATGGGTCTTATTTTCGGGGAAACATGGTAGTCATAATAATAATATTTTTGAAACATGAGAGGGAACTCCATGAGGACACTTAGAGATATTGAATTTTGAAATAATAGCATAAGGGGACCTAAAGCTGATGTCATTGTTCCGAATAATGAACTTACCACACTCCATGCTCTCCCTCTTCCCCCTTGAGTTTGAGATGAGCCCCCTAATACTATACAAGGTGCATTTGCTATAAATAAAACTGAATGAGCAGGAGGTTGGACTAGAAAACCTCCAAGGTTTCTTCCACCTCATTACAGTATTCTATATTTTAAAAAATGAAATTACAATTGCTCGTCTTCATAAACTTCCTAAAGTAAAGAGGAAGTATGTCCTGCTTAATCCCTAAATCAACTAGCAAATTTATCTTTTGCTATTTCTGTAATGAATTGGTGTAGCAGAGGTAATCTGAGGAAACCGTCCTGAAATCAATAGGCTTTCTTAGTAAACTACGATCTCAACAGTGTTGAAGAAATGCATATCGAATCCATATATCATATTACTGTAAAATATAGGCAGCAAATAAATTTAATAAATACATTAATGAATTCACAACTGCCCAAATGCCAAACAAACCACTTTGTACAGTAGCTTCAAACAAGAATGGATAATCAGAAGACTTAGAGCTGCATGTGAACCAGAAACTACTTTTCAGCAGCAACTGGAAACCTTCCCAAAAGTCAACGGTAACATGGTTGAACGTTGGTAATGCAATCTGACATTAGTTTAAAGTGGAAGTATATGAAATAAGACACATGACTCACAAATCACTGGAAAAGAAAGTCATTGGTGAGGCATAAAATAATAAATAAAATAAAAAAGGAAGGAGGAAATGTTAGCCCTAGATGTATGATGTGACTAAATTCATTTTGCACCACAGTCCTATTCAATAGGATCTTCACTCTCAAACAGTTAGAAAACATTGCTAATAGGTT